GGCAGAATCTCAAAAATATTCAAAATTTTTGGACATGATTATAAATCTTTTATTATATTTAACATCGAGTTCTTAAATAGTAGGAAGATCACCAAAAAAGTCCATATTTTCAGCTTTTAAAAGATTTTAAAATGTTATTCCTATACTCTTTATTATTAAATATTATTATTAAAAATTAGCTTAATCCATTTGTGAGTTAAAAAGTTTTTTTTAATATTTTTTTTAAGTGTTCTTCTTTTTCTTCGTTGACTCCTACTTCAGGCAGTTCGTTTTACTGCTTTTCCGGCTGCTCCTTCAGCTCGCAGAAAAGTTTGTTGCCAAAAATTTGCCGCGATTGGGTGTGAAGTTGGCGACCCATGCCCAAGTGACTTGCCCACCACCACCCCCGACAATTTTCCCCGTTTTCCCGCCCAACTCCACACCCTTTGCTGTCGGTCTTACAAACTCGCATATTTTGCCAGTGCGGAATACCTTAAGGCTTTTGGCGAGAATTTTATTTCAGACGCCGTCGCTGCTGTTGTGGCAGTAAACATGCATGCACACACGACCCCACTCCGCCGTATAAAAGATACGGAGTGTTTTCAGCACTGAGAAAAATAAAATAATAAAAGAAAAATAAATAAAAATTAGTTTTTGCTAAGTTTATTTCTTATAACTCAAGATAAAGTAGGTAAATTATTGGTATATTAAAGTGCAATTTAAAATACAATTTAGAGGGACCCAAGTTTTAACTACAGATTTTTTTCTGTGCATATGGGTGGTGTGGTACACCTTGGCGGCTGGGCGTTTTGGGCGTGGCACTGGCGGTGCACACTCGAAACACCTTCCACTGCAGGAGGCAGTCAACTTGGCGGAAAATCGTTTGAAGCGCTTTGCACTTCGTCGACATCTTCTGCTTCCCGAGTTTCCCGAGCTTTCCCAGCTTCCTCGGCAGCTCGGAGTTGAGTGCAATGTGTGTTGTGCTGTCGTAATGTTGTACTGTTGTGGGTTGCATTGTTCCGCAGCCAAGCCAAAAACTTCAGCCTGAAGTTGACTATTTATGGCTTTTTATTTGCGGTCTGTCGCCTGCGGCTCGCGATGATCATCACAGTCGGTTGAATTTTTGGCCAACTTAAAGCCGTGATCCATTGGCCAGAATCCACAGCGGGCCCATAACTCGTTTGACGGGTGCACGCGTCAACAAACTGAGTGTGACAAGCGGGCCAGAAGACGCCGCCTCGCCATGGCGTCTAGTGGCCGGCGTTGCACCTTCCGGTACCGGTTTTCCACTTCCTCTGACTCCTCTGGCTGCTCTTCCTCCTTCTCAACCCCCTCCCACCAGCCCAGCGGAAAACACATCCGCCACGCACGCAATACCACCCACCCACCAAACAAACACCCACCGACAGCCGCAAACAAAGACAAACGCCACATGCTCAACCCCAAACTTTGCTAGTCGGAATTCTAGTCTACACTGAAAAAATAATGGTAATCAGATTTTACTTATGTTAATCAAAATATTACATTTGATTTTCTATTGATTTAAGAACCAATACAATCTAAATGAAGATTGTTGGCTGAATAATATATTGATATTTATATAAATATAAAATTTACAGAAATGAAGTATTTATGTCGTTGTTCAGGTACCAATACCTTTTTTAAAAATTCTTAAACATTTTATTATTCGGTTATCTTTATATTCTACAATATTTTTCCCAGTGTGGCACGGGTTGGCCCGTGTGCGGACCCGGCAATCAATCCAAATGATATACACATTTCAGACTTGGCTCAGTTCTCGGCTCAGCTCTTCTCAGCTCCGCTTGGCTTGGCATGTTTGCTCGGGGCGGCGAGGGGTGAAAGATTTGATGTATTTGACAGATAGACTCCGTCCGTCGGTGATTTTTTACGGCCGGAGAGATGGCGGTGTGTGGTCTGCGAACAATATGTCTCAGTCCCGGGCAGAAATGGCGTGAGCAATGACTGGGCGGTCAACGGGCCTAGGGATTATTGATATTTAAATGGCAGCTAAGCAAATTGCCAGCCAGAATGTTTGCCCCAAAAAATGTGCTGCCAATATGTGTAAATTATGCTTATAAATTATGCTTATACGGCACAGTGGAAAAGTTATGGAGGAAAATGTAGTTTAGCCAGGGTAATATTTTATAGTCTTAATCAATTAGTTCCACCAGTAAGGAAAATATCTATAATATATTATTTTTAATTAGTTCTTATAAATAACTGGCTATAACAAGAGCTACGATTTGGTTAAATTTAATATAGTAAAGTTTCAAACTTTTCTGTTGGCTTAGATAGAGCCAACAGTTTCTGGACATCAAGTGGCGGGTTGACTTTTGGCCAAATTAAAAATGCATTATACCCGTGACGCCCGGCACTCGACAGAGAATTTGGCTTAATTCAATTAAATAATGTGGAGCAGCTGTCCCGCGATCCGTTTGACGCAGCGCCATCATCCGACCGGGCACACTCGCATCTAATTAAAATAATGATTCCCCAAACCACCGCCTTGTTTTCCTGCGGAAATATTTGCGGGGCGTGGCATGGCGATTGCCTTGGACCCGGAGTCATCGGAGCCGGAGTTTCCGGCCAAGAAAGAGCGGCGGCGGCATCAGGGCGTAACGAAATGCGCATAAAACAGGGCGAATTTACAGCCAGAGTCCTTCTTAATGTGCCATGGCGAACCGCAGGACACTGCCTGCCAGAAATCAGACACCAGTCGCACTGGGGCTGCTTTTTTGGGCGGCTTTTGGCCTCATTCCGAGCGTTTATTCATTGTGCCTTTTAAGAGCTTCCGTTTCGTCACGCATAACGCTTTCGAACGACAATGACACGAACATCAAAATCATCAGCATTATCTGCACAGCCACACAGAACAAGGACTATGGACTACGGAATACGGAGCACCGACGGGAGAAAGGAGAAAGGGGAAAGGGGCACAGTGTCCGGAACAAGGGACGGGGCTTCGATCTGAGTGAGTGTCCATGAGGAGAGGAGCTCTTAAACGCCCGCAATCCAACTACAAAATGGAACAAGTCCTGGGACCAAACAGAGATGACTCATTTTCCAGGGCAAAATTATGTTTAGTTGGTTCTTAACCAATTTTATAATATTTTCCTAACAAAACTTTTTCTATAACTAGGATTGTTGCAAACTAGTTATATAGAAATATAATATATAAGGAAAAACACAATGTTAATTTTATATCAAACCTAGAATTTATAAGAAATATTGTTCAAATGTCAGAAACTTCCAAAGAATATTTAAAAATATTATCTTGAACTACACTTTCATAGTTAGGTTTATAACATCTTATAAACACATATTTTATGTTTAAGAAAAATCAGCAAATAATGAAAACCTCTTAATAAAAAATCCTAAAGATTAATTCTTTGATGGTATGCCTTTTTCATGATTTTCGAAAGACTTTCCCACTTGAGGAGCATAAAGCTGTCATCACTGGTGTGAGGTTTTCCGCTCCCTGTTGGCCCCGCCCCTGGTTTGGCCAATGAGTGAGGTGTTCCTGTCCGGCGCTCCTTGTCTGGCCATGTTTGACAACATCTAGGCAAAATGGCGACGTCCTCGTTGTCGTTGAGGTTCCTGCATGACATGGCGTATGCGTAACGTGCGAGCGTTTACGAGCGTGTTTTTATCGCAATTGACATCATCCGAGGCTCTTGTAAACATTGATGCATATTTTAATTTAATGCTAAGCACAACTATAAGCACATAAAATTTCATTGCACTCGAACACTCGGACCGAGCAAATAAGTAAACATGCAAACGAACACAAAGGGACTTTCGTTGGCATAAGCAAACAATTTATATAATTACCCGCACAGTGGCTGCGCTTAACTGATTGCTTTATTATTTTTTCAAGTGTCGTGTTTGCCGTTTTAATTCCGACAACAATACGGCCGTAGCATAAATATTTACGAGCGGCCTGAGCCAGAGTCCAACATCCTGCGAATCTCGGCCATAGTAATAACAATAATGGCTACAGAAAAAAAATAAAATACTCGGCTTAAACACATGCAAATATTATGGCAGATAAATTTGTTCACATCATCAACACATTTACTGGGCTACTGGTAACTTAATTACACATGTAAACAATTGCATCAATAAGGCAATAAAAAGAGCTGCATCTGCTGCTGATTGGATTGGGCCAAAACGGTTGGCCAACAGATATGCCGAACGATAAAGGCCCGAATCTTCAATCGCAAGCCAAAACCATGTTCAGTGAGCTCAAATCAAAGCCAAGCAATTATCCGAGAATATAGTTTGGAATTTAGAGGGATTCCGATTTATATGTGGATTGCTTCTCAAGAGCAATCGGTGCAGATGTGGATGAAAATGGCAACATTTTAATGCCACTCGACTTGCAGCGAAATGAGCAGTGACTGCCAGCGGATTTTTGTAATTGCCACTTGTCGTGTAAATAAAACGAGTGCCACTGTCATGTGCAGCGTCCCTTTTTTTTAAATACAAATATTACAGCTCTCGCCTTTTTTCCACATTTTCAAGTGCCGCATGTTCGACTTTTTTCGCCAGGTGCATTGACGCATAAATTCCAGCCATACAGCAGAGTGTCCCAATAAATGCGATTGAAAGTGGCAATGTTGCAACTTGAATGATTCCATCCTCGGCTATAAATAAACTCTTTATGCGAGCATTAATAAATAAATCGGAACCGGACCACTAATCACTGCACTGATTTATTTGAATCTGCTGCGGAATTTATGACAAGATTTGCCTTGCCAAACCAACCACTTTCAAATCCATGTCTAATTTTAAATGGAAATGTTCTGCCCCGCAAACAAATCAACTCAAGTGAATCGAAATGAGTTTTGGCTGATTTTTCCCCTATATATATATACACCTCCAGATTTCAGTCTGCCAAAGGCTGTGACATTTCATTCGCCGGCAATTAGAAGCCAATTTCACGCGTCGCTCTCGCAGCGAAACCATAAATTTCGCCCGACACTTGTCCGGCTGAAACCGACTTAAATGGTTTAAGGTATTACCATCAAGTCTAAATTTTATTGGTGGTAGGAAAAGAATTTAAATTTTAAATAAGCGTTTAATACTTCTGCAGGCCCTTCGATATATTTTGTGGGTGAGAGAAAATTATATGAAATAGTTTTTAAAACTTAATAAATTTTTAAACTGTGTGGTATGAACTTGTTTTAGAAAATCCTCTACAAAAATGTAATGTGACCTTATTTTCTTGAAAAAATGTATGGTGTTCTTTTTAAAAACAAGTTGGCAGCTTTTTGAGGTTTTTTTTTTTTGCTGTAGAGCAACCCTTTCCTGAAAAATCAGTGTAGTTTTATCTACTTACTTTAGTATTCTAATTTTCAAACCTGGAAATGGCTTACCCATCTCGAAATCTTGACGATATCTTGGACGGCGTGAAAGAAGATCCTAAGCATTTGCGCAATCTATCAAACATCTACAAGTTGGAGCTGGAAGTGCAGAAGCGCGAGTATGGTAAAAGGGAGGATGTCAGCCACTCTCGCATCCTGTTGAGGGAAGGTCCTGATATATTGGCTGCTTATAAGAAGGACCCCGTAACTCTTAGGTATTTCAATGAATGGGCGCCATGGACGTTTTACGGCGTACCTTTTGCCAAAGAAAGTGAAACAAATATTTGCGATCTAAGTGCCTACCTGGTAATTCCGCAAAATCCCGATTTGAAACCAGAATCTACATACAAAATGTAAATTTGATTTTGCAATAAAATATCCTTTGTTGCCTTTGCTGCTTACAGGCTTTACCAGTTAAGAAATCAGACCAATTGCTTTGGCGGCAATTAAGGCAGTCATCGATTAGGCCATCAATCATATTAATTTTGAGAGCATGACAAGATGCAAATGCAGGCTTTGTAAATTTCTATATTGCACATTTGCAAAAGACGACGTCTCTAAGCTGGCAAAAGCGCAAAAGCAAATCCCCAATTGGGCCAAAAGTCAACTGAAATAAAACGGAAATCGCATTCGATGGCAAGAGACAGTTGATGGCCATCGGATCATTTTTCACTTCATTCATAAGCCGGGAAACGTAATTTATGATGGGAAATTCCTAAGACGGAGCAGCAGGCGATAAATTTACAGTTTGCAAAACGTTATTAATTGCTAATTACCTCCGAACATGATTAATATCCTCCCAGCCGCCGCGTCCGTCTCCATGTCTCAGAATGCCCATTGATGTGGACTATACACACAGAGGCAAAATATGATATTAGCAGGTATTAGAGTTAATAGCACTTCAAATTGGTGCACTAAATTCAATATATTTGGTTTGACTTAGTAATCAACAGTATATAATATCAAAGTTTGAGTAACTATGTTATATTAAAACTACTCCCATGGGTTTTTCACCATATAACTAAAATATTATTTCCCTGTGTAGATGAAAGCCATCGCAGTTTCCACTCGATCCAAGCGCCAGCCACGTGTGACTTTCTTTCGGGCGGGCCGAGCGTGAAACTGCCGTGTAATGTAATTATTGCAAAACTATTCATCATGTTTTGGGCCCCGCCCGCAGTGAGCAGCAGCCACTTAGCCGCCGCGCCTGGGGTCTGTCAAACGCGGCGTATGAGCAATGTGGCCCCAAATATACAGACACACAAACTCACAGGCTCCCAAACACACTCACAAACACACAGGCGTGCGAGGTTAACTAATTAGCATGTCAAAGCCATCCATATTGCCATACCGAAGCCGTTTCAAAGTGTTGCCTCCATTGAAAAGAAAAGCCAACCCAAAGGCGCAAATCCCATTTAATTATGCTTTTATATTCATAATCCCCTGCCATGTTTTCAGCATAATGTCATCCTTAAAGGGACACCCACAAACGCACACACACACACGCTCGTCTATCTGTTTTGATTAATCCTTTGTCAATGGCTCGGACTTAAGGCGAGCAACTAATTTGCTCTCAATGGGCCCCAAGAAAGAGCCTGCTGTCGTAAAACAAAACGACCCAAAACACAATATAAAATTAAATTAAATTTGTCAAAAGGCTCGATGGCGCAGGACCATTAAATGTCCTGCCATATGTGAGGGTTGTTCACAATGCATATATTTGGGGTAACTTAATCCCTATTGGCTGCCAAAGTGGGCAGTAAATCGGGCTTACATGAAATTGATATAGGCATTTATTTAGATTATTTTTATTTTCAAAACTGAAAGAACTAGCTAGGTTCTTTCCCTTCATGGCGGTGTCTCAATTGCAGTCCGTATACGTGATTCTTGTGCTCGTAGTTACCAGTTTTACCCTTCTTTCGATGGCATTGTCCATCTGCTCCAAGGGATTCGTATGGTCGACACTTACGGTAGGTTCGAAGCAACCTGCCCGGCAAGATATAGTTCTTACGTTTGCGATTGTGGGCCGAAATGGGGGGTCCTGAGTAGGGAGCCCTCTTTTCCTTGGCCTCTTTGACCGGTTCCTTGTAGACGCCTGGTGCCTCGCCAAAATTGGAGAACACCACATGCTCGCCATTCAACATGCTGTGGTGCACTTCCGACCTCGCCATTTCCCTGCGCGGTGGAAATGCTGGCTTTGAGCAGCCAAACGGCGTCCTGATCTCGTGCTCCTTGCACTTCATTTCATCCACCAGGCCAGCTCTCGCCTTTGCCTTCTCGAAGCCCTGATCCTTCCAGGATCTCAAAATGACTCGGTTCAAGAAGTATTCGCGATCCACGCAGCCGTTTTCGGATAGGATCTCAGTGGATTTGCATTGTGATGCTGCAGCTTTGGAACCATTTTTAAGGGTTATCGAGAGAAAACTGAATATTAAGAATAGTCCACACCAGCTTCGCTGAAATTGCATCTTGGTGTGCAAGACTAAACGGACTGTAATATATATTCTGAAGAAAATGAAGTGGAACAATGCAAAATGTAATATAAGTAATTCATTTGTCTTGCCCTACCAATAACGATCCATTTTATGCGACGTAATTTAGTATACAAAATATTATGTAATTGTAGAATATAAGAGTAGATATATGAAAAATTTGTTTTTTAAAAGATATAATTTGTGTTTTGATAATAAACCATTTTTTTATTGCCGAACTCATAGGATACTTTTTACTTTTTTACGATTCTGTTGAGGTTGTTTCTTCAGAATTCTCCTTCTTTTTATGATGTTTAACTGCACGCCTTTTTTGGATGCAGCGATTCCTTCTTCCGAGGACCTCGTTTGCTCGGCACTTGTGTCTCCTCGTTTGAGTCCTTCCCGGCAAAAATACGTAAGACCGTGGCCGATTGTGCCCAGTTATCGGTGGCTCAAGGCCCCGTTTTCTGCGCTTTCGAACGGGTTTCGGTTCTCCTTCTTCCTCTGGGTGGTGTACCTTAAATCCCGCACCATCGTGCACCACCCTATTGTTTTCCAGTCTGCTGTGGTGCACCTCCACCCGCTGCAATACCCTGCGAGGGGGAAATGGGGGCTTGGAACAGCCAAAGGGCGTCCTGATCTCGTTCTCCTTGCACTTCATTTCATCCACCAGGCCAGCTCTCGCCTTTGCCTTTTCGAAGCCCTGATCCTTCCAGGATCTCAAAATGACCCGGTTCAAGAAGTATTCGCGATCCACGCAACCGTTTTCGGATAGAATTTCTGTGGATTTGCACTGGGTTGAAGCGCCCTGTATTGCCTGCCCCATTAAACTCAGTATTAAACTCAGCACAATTAAGCACCTTTTTTTCTTCATCTTGTGACTATTTTGCTGCTATACTCAAACCACACTACAGTAAAACTTGACTAATGATTGAGGCATATAGAATGCATTATATCATGGTATAGGAAATCAATTTGTCTTACCCCAGCGTGATTTTTACTATTTACCTGTACTTATAGATTTTTTAATTGTCTTTTCAGTTCCATAAACAAAGTTTTAACTCACCAACACTATAGATTTCCAGTAGTTGGTAAAATATCAACCGAAATCAATTTGAGGACAACTGAAACTTTCAAGGTGCTGCTCAGTCGGTTGTTCCTCTTCGTGGCTTGTTGTTTCGATGTGCAATCTCAATTTCCCCCACAATAAAATTAATGTTTTACGTAGCCAATTCCGAATCGTTTATTTCACATAAAAATGCGATAAATAAGCGGCGTATCCTGTGCGACGCCGTCGAAGACGCCAAGGATAAGCCGTTGTTGTTATTGTGCGTGGGGGGGTACAGGGGTCGTTCTCCTTCGAGTGTTGTTGTCCTTGTTGTCGGTATTTTACCCGTTGCGCACCTCCAGCATCGTGTATTTATAGCGCAAACAATGCAAAGGATGTTGTGCAAGGACATACGCGACGGATTAAGGAGGGGCTGGGAGAGGAGGTGGAAACTATGGAAAAGGGGGCTTACGAATAAAGCGGCACCACGCCCCCAACTTCTCTACATTTCGCAGCCCTTTTCCTTTGACTGTTGGTTAAAAATAAAGAGGGAACCGCATCGAGACCAGGAGACAAAAGATTACTTCGTGGACCTCTTACCCAACGAAAACTAAGGGGAGGGTGAGGTGATGATCGAAGTGAGGAAAACTTTTATAAGGGATACAGATATATATGGGGTATTTTATTGGAATATAGGTTATTGTATTGTCATTCTGATAGAATTTTATAAAATAATATGTTTAATTTAGTATTGCAATCAGAATATCTATATATCTTATAATATCATTTTATATCTCATTCCTTATTGGAACAATATAGTATTAGAAAGAAATATACCCCAAAAGGGTATGAAAATAAAAGCACCTTCAAAGATATAGCACGAGATGGAGTAATAAGGAGAGTGCGACAACAATGGCGGGCCACGTGACCCCGCCGAAATCCTGGCAACCCTGGCCACCCTGGCAACTCTGGCTCCCGCTTGCGGGTCCTGTTAAAAATTTCATGTTAATGGCCACACGAAGATTCGCTCTTAACCCTTTAGCCCCGTGGGTGTGGGTGTGGTGGTATGTGTGTGGGTGCGCTGGTGTGGGTGGGAGTGTGAGTGTGTGCGGCTGTATCTGTGGCAGCGTGTAAGTGTGCGTAACAGGTCATTGTCCCAGCGTTTTTCGGTCGCACCTTTATGGCGCGGACAAGGCAGCTTATTTCCTTTGGCTGTCCCTTTTGCAAATTTCATTCCACCCGGTGCACACGCAACCAACGTCTTGGTCCTTTCGTCCTTTTCCACCAGAAGGGAAATTGCTTTAATTAAGGATACCTTGTGAAATGTTTGCTCATATTTATAACCCCGTCGCGTCGTTTCGGTGGAAAGGTGAAAACTGTACGGTGAAAACTAGAAAAAGGTGCGCAATCAAAGGCGGAAAATCGTTAGAGAATAAAATCGAAATAACAAAGCGGCCACAGGAGAGAGATAGCGAATGAAAAGGGGGAAAGCGAAGCTAGGGACATAATGCGCTTTTCTCGCTGTGGAAGCGGTTTGTTTTCCTTTTTTGCTTTTTTTCTTCTCCTGTTGAAGGACCTGCGGACATTTTCGGTTGCCTTCTGTTTTTCCAGAGGTCCTTTGACTATTTGCCATCTTGCCGGCTTCATTTGTTTGTGTTGGCTTGTCAGCGTTCTGCGCTGAGCGCTTTGGGTATTTCGCCGGGATAATAAGATAAAAGCTTTAGTGCCATTCGGGCCAAGTTAGTTAATTGCGTGAATGGCATTTGCGCCCTCATTTTATTCCATTTTATACTGCTCTTATTCCGATTGAATCGTGCAACCAAATTGGGTGATTAGCAACTGCAGTTCACCGACTATAATCCCCCAGATTTTCCCCATCTCCATTTCTCCAGTCTTCAGTTTCCTCGAGGCAGTCAGTGGAGCTCTACCGGTGCTCATCTTTTATTCAACACGCAACAATGACAAGTAAAATTTCACCAATGGAGCACATGAAATTCATGCAAAACACTTTGATATTCATATAGTTGAAAATACAGAGACAAAATCGCATGACAAAAGATTCCAATTTAAGAATCATTTGCAATTAACTACTATTAATTCTAATACTTTAAAAATCAAAGCATGTTTTTATTATATTTTTAAAATAGTAATAAATTTAAATTGAATAAATCCAAATAGATTTTTCTATATTTTAGGGATATATCCCAGAAAACTTATCCACTTTTCTAAACTTCTTTCTTATATATTCACTAAATTAGACAAAAATAAATATAGTGTAGAACTAAACATAGTAACTAAGGGGTTTTCGGAAATATGTTTTTTTTTAATTGATGAGGTTCAAATAGATTTTTCTAAATTCGGGATATACCCCAGAAAACGGATCTACATTTTTGAAGACATCTTTTCAAATATATTTTATTCACTGAATTAGAAAAAATATTTGAAGTGTAGGAAAAAATCTTTCCCATCTCCATTAATGGACAATTTTTTCCAGTGTATACTATATATGTGTGGTCTGCCCTGAGTGCTGAGGAAAAAACAACAAATAAACATGCAGGCAGCAGCAACAAACAATGGCAACAACAACCGGCAATTGTTTTTGCCAAACACACACACATCATACATACGCACACATTCGACACTTGCAGTGCCGCCTAAATGTTCATGAATGCTCCATAAAATATTAAATGTTTATGAATTTCAAAGGGCCCCTTACTTCATTTGCATAATCCCTATGTTTGTTGGCAAGTGTTTGTGCGAGTGTTGGTGTGTTCGTGTGTGGGCAAGTGTCACATATCGTTAGTCTGACTTGTGGCAATAGCTGGAAATGTGTCACATCAGAATGGCGAATATGGCATATAGTAAAGGATCGGGGGAGAGTCAAGTGCTTAGACAACTCGGCTCAAGTGGCCCACTTCTAGGGGCCCTCATCTGCCATCTAATTCTTGTTTTTCTTTACTCCCCCTGTTATCGCTTTTATTGCAATCCGTTTTCATTTCCACACAGACAAAAAAAGATTTAAAATATTCTAATCTCTGAAATATATGTCAAACGAAGACCTGTCTGTTTGACCAAACCATTTAAGAAAGATACAAAATAAAAAGTCCATTGTTTTAATTTTTCAAAATAGATGCAGTAACAAAAAAACGAATACCACTTAATGAAATGAAAAAAAGTTAAGAATAATTGAAATGTTAAAATTAGAAACCAGGCATAAATAAAATAATAAAAAAAATTAAAGAATAATATAATCTAATATAAATAAAAATAAACCTTAGTGGCTTATTACGTTGTAAAAGTCAATTTTCCCTCTGTGCAGCCTTCTGCTTCTGGAACCCCTCGAAGGACTCTCAATAGGGGCAGCACGTCCCGAGTCTCCCTCTTTTTTATGGCTGCTGGTGCATACTTTATTGCATCCGCTTCCTGTTGCCATCTCGCATCTCTGCATACTTTCTGGCTAATTCGTGTTAACATTTTCTCTCCTTTTAGCCATTGTTATGGCCCTTGCACTCGCTGGCTGCATTTCTTTTTTTTTGCCGATTGCAGCTCATTTGCATGGGAAAGCAGTAAAATCGGGGAAAAAAAGCTACAACCTTCTTATCGAGCGTCGACTGTTTCCTTGACTTAATTGCCATTTGGCTGCATACCGGATTTTATTTATGGGCCCAGCTTAGGCCTCGCCAAGCCAGTGGAAATAATTACCAATACAATTATCACACACTGGGTCACTCTACACAGGGAAAAAATAGTGAAAGCAGAAAGTAATTTATATTATGCTTAGTCTTGTAACTACTCCCTTAACTTGCGATTTCTCTCTGTGTACTTTCCCTGCCCGGTGGAGCGCTAAAAATTTATGACACAATGCCGCTTGCCAAACAAGAAATTAAAAGTTTGCGACCCGCACTCGCCAAACTTTTGCGCACACGCATGTGGCGCAGTGGAAAATTTATTAAACTAACTGCAAATTAGTGCACAATTGCACACACTCACACATGTGAGTTACAAACTTTTTGGGGGCGGGGCAGGAGTACCAAGCAAAAAAAAAGAAAACCTGGGGAAAAGTCACCGACTAAGGGAAAAGAAAAGGCTGCAGCATAAATCAAGGCGCCTGCAACGGGGACTGCCCTTAAATTATGTTGCCAATTGGCTAAATATTTCCGCCAGATTGCTGCTCTAATTTCCACAGTATTAAATAGAAATGGCGCCGCGCCCAAAAATAAAAGTATAAAAGTAACGCACAGCCAGACACACGACAATGCCTCTAAGTGATTTTCCTTTGTCACTGGAAAATTGTAAAACAATTGTTATAAATTCTATGCGCTTTTTTGCCTTGCCATGTTTGGCGCTTGATAAATGCAGACAATTAGCCAAATGGTTGACTGGCGCCAGCTTCAGCCAGGGATAGACAGTTCGGCTGCTGACTGCCAGCCCACTGAGAAAAAAATTATGTAAGTAAAGCAAGAGTTACAAAACATAAATATAAAACTCATGTGATATAACAATACATTTAGGGAAGAAGATTTTTATATGAAGTATGGACAAACCCATAGCTGAATATTAGTAAAAGGTTCCTGTTTAAAAAATAATAATATGTTACTATCCTCCATTATGATGTTCTTTTTTACCTTCCTATTTTTCATTCCCTGTTCAATAAATTATATTGTAGTCCCAGTTTTATTACTTTGAGTTTTTTATATTATTAAATGTTTTCTTATTTCCCCTTAACCGAAGATAGCCTTTTTGAAAAAGGTCAAACTCTACAACTTAAAAACAACCGAGATGCTGTGGTAATACTGTATTTCCAATTACATTTCAAGTTCCTTGTTTCTAAAAATCGAAAGGCTGT